GTACACGACCGATGAGGGAATTTTTCTCGCAGTGTTTGTCTTCTGACTGGCCTGTTCAAACATTAAATAGTCCAAACATATGTACAGAGCTTGAGGGGACGGGAAGAGGTGTGGGATGCGGCAGGCACAGGACCCCTCACTACCTCATGTACTAAATCGAAAAGCCCAATGGAGGTCAGAAAGAACGCCGAACTAGGTAAGTTGTCGGACAAAATCAGTCTAACAAAGCACCAAACAATGAGCCGAGCTTGGGCGGTGCTTCAATTGGGTATTCACTCGGAGAATTACATATGCAACGTTTGCACCATGTTACCGTTCCGCCACTTCGAATATTTATCATATTGATGGCGTATGATCTGTTTTTTTGAAACCAATAGGTGTCAGACTGTTATATTTGTACTCATACCGGGGAAGAGGTTTTGCCCCACTGGATTCAACCACTACTGTATTTCCTGTATGCTGGCACCTGGGTCCTTCAGTTGCTTGTAGATTAGTAAGGTTGTTCTCGGTGAATTCCCTCACACCATCCGCCAGACTGAATAAATCCATGATTTTCCGGGCAGTGTCTATCCATACTGTCTCCCGTAGGTCTCCCAGCAGACCCTCCATAAACTGCCTGAGGATTTATTCCGAATTCTCAGCATCCTCCAGTGTTAGGAGCGCTCGATCCCACAAGACGCGTAGAGCCCCGGCATGCGACAGGGGGTCCACGCCAAATACTTGCAGCGCTGCAATGACTCCTGACCGTCGACCACAAGACATTGCTGGATTGACGAAAGTTTGTTAATGGAAGATCTTCATTCACGAGGGATAAATAGGATTACATAGAACAAAACACCAATCTGCAAAATTTGTTCAGTAGTATCATGGAAGGCTTCTGATCTGTAGTGAGCCAGCTCGAAAGTCTTTTTTCCTCTTCTGCAGTTACAATAATAATTCCTTTATTTCACTTCCAGGTGCGTGAAAATCCATCAATGATCTCTATGTTGGGGCACCAAATACTAATCAGAAATGCAAGTAGTACCTAACAGCCTTCAGTAAACCAAAACCAAATCCGTTAGGTAGCCGAACGGTGTGAAGCCCGTAATCTTCTCGGAGTCGGTATCCAGTTCAGCGAAACATACTTTTTGGACGCGATCAAGCGTCCACAGTAGCTTAATCAAGCCAGTGACTACTATCGGAACCAGGACTAGGTGGATGTTTCATTCATCCCTTCTTGTTTGGTTTATAATAAAGATATTTTCAAGGCTCGAGTAAGTAAAATCCCAGTTGTTTATCAGCCAGGATGTTGACCATCAGTCCTTCTACACATTGACCTCTTAGTAACAAATCGCGTTTTTAGTCAACTTTGAACGAGAGACGTGTCCATGTGTTTTTGGCTAACGTTAGCCACCGTTCGTCTTCCTTTTTTATCACAGATTCTTTTGAATAAATCTCTTGGGATAGTCATTGTTCAGTAATGTGTGCCTTAGCTTGTTCAATTCTGACTCCAGCTTTTCTGCGGAACATATATTTCTAATGCGAGCAGCTAGAGATCGAACGACGTAGCTTACGCCTCAAGGGTACAAAACCGGCGAAGTGAGTGTACTGACCTATCTGTGTGGATATTCTGTAGACTGATCTACTGTTTCATCCGACCGCTTGGTAGGATTATAATCTATAAAATGGTATGTGTTGGTCATTTCCATTTTCGGTGGAAAATTGAACGCATCATGAGCCCCGGGTAAACATATCAGTCAGTGTTTTCTACGGTATATTTTTACCAAGTATTGCGAAAATTTCACCAACGTAAGACACAATAGGGTGATAAGCATTCTATGATATCCCCGATTTCCTGGCATTTCAGTTTTGCGACAAACATGTCAGCCAAAGATGGGCCAACACTTGAACTCATTGCACCTCCGTCCGTTTGCCAGTGGAAATTTCCCGTTGAAGCTATACTGAACATTGTAGGTACATCATAGTGCCAGCTCCTTCTAGTTAGCCAATGAAATACCGATGTCCATGAAGTTTGCTATGATGTATTCACATAAATAGTTTCTTCTTTTCCCAAAGGTAACATTTATGAAGAACGATATTACGTCTAATGATACCGTAAATAAGCCATCAGTGCGTCGTTCTAGTACAAGTTCCACAAATTGGAATGTGTCCTTCAGACAGTAGTGAGATATCTGTGTACGAACGGGCTCCAAAACATCCACAAGCAATTGGACATCTGGAGGGTAAGGAGAAGAGTTCATGTCTAAAGTAGGTTTTACAGCATACCCGGTTAATGAACTTTCGGGAAACCATGAAGACGAGGAAAAGAGGTTTCTGTCGATCCCAGCTGTTCGTCTTATTCCTCACTCCTTTAACTTTTAAGAATTTTGTCGTATCTTCCAAAATGTTAATCATCATCCGCACGGTTTACTTATATTCGGCAAGCTACATAGATCGGATTGTCCGCTACGACTTGGCGGGCAATGTCGAATTACTGAGTATGCGACCTGACTAGTTTGAATGGCATTAGGTAAGTAAATCAATCATAAAATCAAACTAGGCCGCGTCTCGATATATCAGTCAAAATGACCAAAATGTGCTTCAAATAACCTAAACTCAGATCCCATTCCCAACAGTAACCAAAATCGGCGCACAAAAATGCATGGTTATTGGCCGTAAAAAATGAACTGAACTGATTTCCGACACAAACGATATGAAACACAATTTTTGTTGTGTTGACAGTGAAGTGTGTATTTTTCTTCCTATCTTTCTGTACAATTAATCTGCCGTCAGTCGTTCATACAAATGCCACTTTTCTCTTGTAAATATTTCTCCACATTTTGCACATCCATTGCGATGGAAGCATCGTTCGGATCCAGTTTTTGAGCTGCTCTGTATTCCACCAAACCTGTGACGGGGCGGAGTTGGGGTTAGAGGGCGCAGTGGAGAACGAATGAATACATATAAAAGTGTTCAAAGTGTTTGTCATACTATCGGACGGACTATCCAAAGACTTAAAAATTATACTAGTGGAATTACTACTTTGAGGGACTGTTATCATAGTAATCTTGCCGCATAAAAAGCAAGTACTGAAAATTGTTTCAAACAAATGTGAATACATTTCGATATTCAAACAATTTCTTCAAACCAAGATAATTTCATTAGGACGAACTGTTCAATGCGCGTCATTGTACCAGTGCATCAATAATTTTGGGCCCCTAAAATGGTACCATTTGAAAAACTCCAAGTAGAAGTCACAGGTTTACTTCTAGAAATACTTTTAACTGTCAAGTATTGCAGATAAGCACGAAAGATTGCGGGTTGTCTTGAATTCAGCTCTGTTGCACAAGCACATATGCACACAATCTCCCTCCCTTCCATGCCCGTGCGTGTGCATGCACTGACTAAAACACAGACAGTTATGAGATATGATAGAGGTAAGTGAGCGGGCCCAATTTACTCAATGAACTATTATTGGACTGAGATGATGCAAGATTGATGGCACATCATATTTCGAGCAAACTACCATCCTACTCCTCCTTCTCCTCATTTCTGGCCTTGCCCATCACTCGTTATCTACTCAAATGGAGGCATAATGCCGATCGCAAAATCATATTCAGTGCAATTTTAAAGACATGCAGCAGATGAAGAAATTAACACTCCGTGACTGAAGCCGAATTTGCGCAAAGGCAAATATAAACGTTCGCTTTCCTGGTCCTGCTCTAGTAGCAACGCTAAACGTCAGTAATGAACCCGATAGGCACTTTTACTTTGCTACACCGAAAAAACCTATTCTCCACAGCATGCACCTGATCAAAAGCATAGAAAATCAATCCGAATGTGAACGGTACAACATGCACGAATCCAAGCACCGAATTTCACTGCCTGAGTCTTCAAACCGTTAAGTGGCAAATAAATCATTCGGATGAACATATAATTGATAGGTAGATCTCATCTAAGCAAATAAATTAGTTACGTATCACACGCATTCATACAGGAATGCAACAGTTGTTGGGCAGGCCAAATGTCCGAATACCCACCTTCACGATACATTTGGAGGTGACAGAAAGCTGCCCCACGTCGCACGTGAGCTCGCACACGAGATCGGAGATTTTGTTGGACGGCTGGAACGCACAAATCCAGCACAACCGAGCTGTCTTCCAGGGCCTTGAAATAATTGCCTAATTTCAAATGACATCCGGCGCGATTTGAGTATGCCCTATGAGCGCGATGTGGTTGAGTTTGTGAATGCAGGTTCAGGTAGACAGCAAAACGTGTATCAGTCGATCAAAAGCAGAACAAAGATATCACTGCAACATTTGACCCAACGTATAAATGAGTACAAAAAAAGAACACATAATTGTAAATCAACCCCTAAAATGAATGAGGTAGTATTTTGACAGAAAAACAGGTAGGCAGATCTAAGCTATCGAGAGAGAAGTAGGTGCAGATGATAATTAATCTGCTCATTGAAATCCACATCGCCCACACACCACGCACTACTCGAACCCCCACCTAGCCTTACACACAAAGACGAAAAAAGTGCAGAAAAATTTTGTGATTAAAAGATGATATCTTTCAGTTTCCCAAAGGATACGTGTGCAGCTTCGGATTCAAGGATATGGCACGTGTGTATGCGACCACAGCAGCTTCATAATCGCCGGCTTTGAAAAGGGAACTAAAAGTACATGAGAAAAGAAAAACAGATGACAGATATTTTCATACGCCAAACAGTTAGTTGGATAGTAAGTATGAGCATAATGACTTCCCACTCAAGTGACATGAATATACGAGAGTACTTAGTGTAAAATCGAAGGTTACACCGGTTCTCTTAGTCCATGAGTGAACTGGTTCGATAGCACTAGTAATGAAGGGCGACGGGTCTGCCAGCAAGAACAAAAACGCAACTCTTTGTTTACATTTATTCACTTTTTGGTATTCAAAGCTCGCTGGGTTTTAGTTACCCTGTGACGGATTCCCTGGAAACACCGCCTGAACATAACGGTGAGATGCAATGCAATAAAACAGGAGATTCGGCGTGCCACACTATCAGAGGTCAAGAATATCTGTCGCTGTTTCCTGTCACAACTTATGTATCGGGGTGGGTGGGTTCATGCTATATATATATATATATATATATATTCGTCGCTTAGACACTGATGGGGTAAATATCGTAACTGTTTGTCCACAAACGTTCGCCTTTTCGCTCCGAAATAATGAAATAGTGAACAGAAAGAAAACATAATTGTAAATGAATTGAGCAAACAGATGAAAGTGCAACATTTCTAATATTCATGCTGCATTCTTTTATAACTAGTATTCTCTTCCATTTGTCATTGGTATTGAGTTGTTTACCTTTTGCACCTTACCATTTTTACGCTATATTGGTTATAGCAGATCTGATTTACTTGTCAAAATTGGTTAACACATGCTCTATCTAGAGGTGACACGAGACCTAAGAATTTCTGTAAAAGTTAAATAAGAAACAAATATACTTCACGGTGCTAACTACGAGTAACAAAAGTGCTGAATGTGAAAATGATGGCTTGTATAACAACGTCTGGAACATATAATTATAAAGTTGACTTACTCTCCCTTCTCTCGCAACCAGATCGGATCTTGTTCCTGTTCGGAATACTCACTTCCAGCGACTACACGCTGCATCATGGCACGACGATGCTCGGCTTGTTTATTCAACCACTTTTGGATACATTAAATAAAGTAGAATGCGAAAGAAAGATGTACTGCAGAATTATTTAATCACATTCAATCAGAGAATCAAGATCATTTTCAGAGATTAAAAAAACGTATTAGTTTGACACTTTTCTGATCGCTTGAATCGCTGTTTCGGGTTGATTAATCCTCTTTTGATCTCGTCACGGATGAATCATGGTAGAAATGGCGGCACAGCTTCAAAAATGCTTGCCTATGACATCTCTGATGTCACCGCGACTTCCAACCTAGCTATCAGAGTCCAGTGTAAGTTGCAGTTTCACCAAATCATGACTGTTAATTGCAAAGTATAAACGCAGGATATCGACGTTCGAGCACCAATGTATGCGAGACATTTTAAGGGTCTGGTGGGTCGATCGAACAAGCATGGCTGAGACCGGGCGAAAATGATTAGATTATCGTGGTCGCGCGCTTATGAAAGTGCTCGGCGATGACTGAGGGCATGTATCACGCACATTACAGCATAGACCTCTTCGAACTGCGATGATGACTATGTGCGATGTCTTATGTATGGACGCTCGATTCAGTATCCACCAGGATGCGCCTCTTTCTTCCATCGAATAGGAGCAGTTTTCAGCAAGACCCAGCGGGATTTACTCTCAAATTTTCCATTTGTATCAGAAAGCAAAAGCAATGCCGTACAAGTATATCTCCGTATCGTTATAAGAAGCAATGGTTCACATACGGTAGAAAATTTCCTCATTCATGTTTTTTTAAATAGCAAGGGGATACATGTCAAGAGTTTGAATTTGCACACATACACAACGACATAGCTTATCGAATTTAGAATCAGTAACATGCAAACTGCAATTGCGAAGAAGATACCCGTGTTTAAATCTCAGTTTTTGCATAAATTGAAGTATACGACAGATAAGGTGATTTGATAAGTTCACTTTACGCTACACCAAACGTATTTGGTTTGATTATTGAATTCTTCCGTTCCAAATACATGATCGAAATGACTATTTCTATTATTTGATACTTGAAGCGTAGAATTGTGTTGGCGCTTCGACGGTGGTAACAGAGATTGGTAGTATAATTCGCAAATAGAACACAAAATAGCTGTGAATCCGGATAACAGTGATATATTTAAAATCATTCTTAATCCATTTTTCAGCGGAACGGGACACAGTGTTATGTTCAAGGCGATGTAGTGGAAACCCATGTGATACATGTAAACGTGTTCATTTATCCTCAGGGCAAAAGATCGAGAACTTTCAAACTTGAGGAAGGCCACAACATTGTTTCCATTTCAAGTAAGGAGTTCGTAGTGTATAGGACGAATGAAACATGAACTGAAAAGCTCGGAAGCACTGTACAGCTGTTTCGACCTGGTTGGGTTTCATTAGCTTTGCGAATCCATCAACCCAACTGGGGATCGAACCTGGAATCTCACAGGCAGAACGCATTCATGCTACTCACTCAACACCGGGAAACTGATGAGAATCTGAATATGATAGCAGGATAAGTTGAAATGTTACTGAGACAAATTGTTTTGATACCCGGACAAATTGAGGTGCAAAATGGATAGAGTCGGGGCAATATACCCGCATTCATATCCATTCCAAACATATTTTATCACGTGCTCCATCTTCACTAGATGTCATATGTGTCATTGCAACCAGTAACACCGCCATCGTCCGTCGAGCTCTCCTTGATGAACAAAGTGTAAAAGGGTGAATTTTGGTGACAGCTAGCGTTGATAAACCTATTCAAGTCATCAGTCATCAACTACCCTCGATGAAATCTCAACGTGTTGGTTACTAATCAGAATAAATAACAGTCTTCAATCTTTGATTGATACCGAGGCTAAAATAGCACTCCCAAAGGTTTAATTTCCATGAGTGATAGCTTATTAATCACTGAAAACAGTTGATAAGCATGCAACTGACTACACCAATATTGTTGATTTGTGTTATTTAATGTTTGGCTGAACGTCTTGCAAACGCGATGCATCATCCCCTTGCGTATGTTTGATTGAACATAGACTGTGAAAAAAATGGTGATGGCGAAAAACGTTCAAGTGTGACATTTTCCGAGGTCAATAGACCGCGTTCATTTTCGTGTCATCGTGGTCACGTGTGGTTCGTCCTTTCTTGACAAACCCACTCAGATCGGTTCAATATTTATGTATTAGTCCATCGCGCACTTTGACTATGTTATGGTGAAAAGGCGAAACACAGACTAATGAGTGTGAAAGATATACCAGGCTGTTACTGATTAACAAGAGTGACGAAATCCAGCGAACCTGAGTAAGAATTCGGTGCATGTAAGTGTTATTTACCCAGGTCATCTTTTGTCTCCCACTATCCCTAGCCCAATAACCGTTCGTTGGTCTTCCGCAATTCTGACGCCTGTCAATTCAGCCAATTTCCAGTTAACCTCTGCACACGGAGTCCAAAATTTCAACAACCTCGATAAGTTTAAAAGGAAAACACTGAGCCAGTTATAATAAATAATAATACATAATTTACTCAAGTGGGATGGCGGGAGAATGGTGTGAAACATTAACCGTACAATCACTTTCGTATGTATTTTACTTCGGATAGTGTGATCATAGAGAAAATTGGGTAAGGCAGCTCGTGACCAAGAGTTAACACGCCGTGACTTCAGCTTAATGCGATTGGGTAAAAAAATCCGCAGTCATATACAGTGCATCCACTCTAGAAGGAACACTGGGGACGTCGAATGCATTTGTTTTATCTTAGGTGTTTTTCTATCCCGGACGGATTATTAGGAAAATATTGTCAAACACAGTAAGCATATAGGAAATGAAATGCCTTTGGTGCATCCCCAATTCATCTGTAATTACTCACGAACGCTTAAACAGAAGATCATGGAATTCAGCATGTATCTGCATTACCATAACACCATGCAAGACCAAGATAGTGATTAACATTGACTGCACACAGTTGATTTTATCCAGGATAATTTACCTGAATATGAAATCCTTTTTTACGTGCCATCCAAGAGCTGAACGAAAAATGTTTGCTATAGCTCAGCAGTTATGCTGAATAAGGAACACATTTAGTTAGTGCCTGAAGTGATGGTTTGTAACGTGTCATCAAGCAGCTGGAGCATCAGGCGCTGGTTGTAAGCTTCAAATGGAGGGCATGACATGATATATATATATATATATATAACTAATCTTTACAGATAGAGTGCAAAAATAAGCATGGGTTGAACGCCAAATATAGAAACAGCAAAGGGAGAAAACAAAGACAGTCGGCTTTGGGGATAACATGTTTTACTTACTGCACACCATTTTAATTTTTTTGTGATGAAAACACAGTTACAGTTTAACGAACTAATTTAGTTCTGCCATGATGAGCAACCTTGCCTTCAGCTGATAGGCCTTTGGGATTGACGGTCTGGGATGCCATGTGCATGACCGGCAAATCGTGACTGGAGGTAAGTAAGTGAAAGAAGACAACTGACTCGTATATAAGATAGTTAAAGCACTATTTCACGCAGCACTTCTAAAATATCTATGGCTGTGTCTATGGTAGTCCGGCAAGATGAAGCTATTATAAATAGAGCTGATTTCAGCTCGTTTTGTATAGTTATATCAAATCTAAGAACAACAGTGATCGGTTCGCTCACTGCCCTGTTTCGAAGCTCTACTAGGACTGTTTTGGGTTCGGTTGTTTAGGCGTCTATGCCATTGGAATAGTCTTCAGTGTCATCTATAAAATGACGTTCAGTGCTCTCTTTGAGTGGCAGAAAAGAGAAATTAAAACGGTCGGAAACACTAATGTATTTATACCTAAATGATGTTTTGCAGTTCTGAGGGGCATGCACAGAAACACAGCACACATGCGGTATGCTTAAAAATCCAGGGATATCTATCACTCATTGAAGAATTTTCTATGGTCATCGGTGAAACGGCCGCATGGCCCACAACATCTGTACCTGTTTACTCAGGTGTAATATTTGACACCTGTCACGACAAGTAAGTCAACGGACTGACTACATTCTGTTATCTATCAGTGAACGTGATCACTCAAAATGAGTGTCTCCTCTGGGTAGAGGGAAGACAGGATCCGCGATAAAACCAGCCAGGATCACGAAAATTTGTTGGCACGGATGGAGCATGGAGTGAACGCTCTAGGGAGGATTCGTGTAGTTGCTCAGATCATGGCTGCAGCGGTGCTCTGTGTTTGAGTTGAAATGTGCTTGTGAGCGCATAACCAGATTGGCAAACGTAGTATGGCTTTTGTACAAAAAAAAACAAAGAAATTTTTAAGTAAGGGGTATGAAGCTTAGATAAGCCCATACGATTTTTCGGAGGCACCAGGCGCTCTCGAAGGTCTTGGGTGTGGATTTCACCCCTTGGGAGATCGTTACTTCCCCGCGAGGTAATGCATCCCAAACAGGACGAAACAGTTATCCAGTGCTCTTTGTCGGTTATCACAAACATTTCCAAATCCTCAAATAATTTTGCGGAATCTTCGGGAGAATATTTCAAAAAAGTTGCAGATAACCTCTACTTTCAGTGGTACAGAAAATCTTTTGAATGCTTAGGGATCGTTTCTGAAACAAAATAAAATGAATCCCTTTGCCCGATTCGGTTAAACCCAATTGTGATTTGGCACGCATGTGTCGGTCGCAAACGGATGTGAACGTGTTGATTGATTAGTGAAAAGATAGAAACAAATTTAGTGGAGCGGTTAAGCAAGGATGCATAAAAAGAACCGAATTGGAGGGTGATAACCAGACTAGGGGAGTTGAAACGTATAGACACGAGAACGACAAAAACAAAAAAGAAAAACGTATTAGATTCCAATCCGAAGAGTGTGTGTACAACAGAACTGGGCGGGATAATGAGTGAAGGATAATCAGACCAATTAGCATGAGACCAGCGAACGGGATGCGACACACACCGTTTGCCTTGTTTTTTCATCCCACTGAGATAATGGTTTTGGGGTTACCATGTGTTGATTCGCTTCCATTAAGGTACAATTGTCTGAGGTCTGTAAGAAATTCTACGGCCGTGTGGTTTGATACCCAAATTAGAAGGCATTCGTAACGGAAAAGTGAACTTCAACCTGAATGGCACAGGACACAGGTTCAGCATAAAACATCGATGTTTTATTTTGTACAATAAAATTGATACATATTTATTGTAATGTATCTTCCTCTTTGATTCACCCGAACACCCGAATACCCGTTCTGGTTAGACATTGGTGAGAAATGACAAATGCTATTCTGTAATAAAAACTACTTTACGGAAAGACAAGGAGCGCAAGCTACTTATTCAGTTTAGATGCATGAACCAATGGCTGTTTTGAACACCAAGTCTATCTATTGGTGGTAAGATGATTTTAACTGTTTTTTGATGGGTAGTGCCAGGTAGTATACTGTCTTCCTTTTAAGGTGCCGTACCAAATGATTTGGATGATCGTCACGGAGTTCGACATCGCGACAAATTTAACTAGGTAATTCCCATCCGACTCAGTGTGGTTGGTGTTATGCATGCCGAGGGGTCCGCAGTTCAAACAGTGGAAATGTAACTTGACAACAACTGGAATTCCCGGACAAAAAACGATTTTTGTTTTCGATTTTTCTCAAGTATTTGGGATGATCTACCAAATAACCAGTTTTTTCATCATTACGCGAAAGATGTCCATTAAACACATCACATTCACCAAAAGTAAGCTTCAAATAAACTTAAGAAATAAGATGAACAATGTGTACAGAGTTTACATTGAGGTCCGTGGTACCTTCGCAAAAACTGCCCCACAATTTGTTTTAGATGGCGCGATCGAACGAAAAGGTGATACGGTAGGATGCAACAGACCTCAAATCGAAAATAAATATTTGACTGAGGCATCAACTTCCAAGAGTAAGACAGGCCTAAAATTTGACTTTCTTATTCAATTTCGTCTATTTACGGAGCGTGACAATTCGCTTGCAGACGGTTCATCACCACCTGAGTTTGGGATCCTCAGCGTTTTTGGAACAGCGGTATTTTGTTTTCATTCGTTCACTTATTTGGTTCTTCTGCAGCACGTTTTAGGTACTTCACTCACATAACTTTCCACCCAGTTAGCCTTTGAACTGGTACGAAGGGGACCGGTTGTTTAGAGTAACATGTCTGGAGTGGCCTGTTCAGCTGTTCGCAGGTACCAGGCACTATTGATGATCTTGGGTGTCTGTTGTATACCCTCGTAGATCGGATTTGGGTTCATTTTTGTCATTTTACTCTTGAGTCGCATCAAAATGTACACATGATCTATACTTTGTATGTGTTCCCTGGGTCGACTGGTAAATGTCAATCCTCCAGAACTTCTCCGATATCTTTTGAGCGGTTTAGATCAATGGTTCTCACTGCATCGAAAGAAACCTGTTATTCCCTTTGGATCTCGTAGAGTGAAACATATGAAAGTTAATTATGCCTCCTGACTGCCCACTGGTGTTCAAGTATTCTTGTTGATAGTGTTCTTCCAGGTATAGTGTTTCGGGTGGTCCTTGCAGTTCAGTCCGTAGATAACTGTGCTCTCTTCTTTCTTCATTGTTTTTGCCTTTGGTTGCCAAGGAATTCTCCGTAGAACGGTGGTCAGTTTGTCAGCGGCTTGCATTTGGGAACACTTCAGCAGGCTTACTGTTATATCTTAAGCATAGTCGATGTGTGGACAAAATTGCTCCCGTTCTTGATCTTCCCTCATCCGTTTTCAAATTGAAATTTTTATTATGGGAAAAACTTACGAAGACTTCGCTTATCAAATCCCATAGGGTGTTTACACTTTGGTTC